CCGCTGGTGTATCTCGGAAGGAGGCGCGCCGGTGTCAGGCGGCGAAGCCGGCTGGTATAGTAATAACAGGGTAGCAAATGACTCGTAGTGAAGGGAAAAGCAAAAAAAAATCATGGGAAATGCCCTATAGCGAACCTCAGACCAGACTGAGGCGTGCATAAGGCGAAGAGAAGCCGTGGTCGCACACCTCACTCTCGCCACATGAATTGGAGAGAGTTAGTAGCGGACCAGCCGCAGCATCAGGTAACCATCGAAAATGAACGCTAGGCGTTGTGGCCGCCAGGTAGGCGACCTCTTCAAAGGCCGCGCTGTCCTCTCGTATTTTTGAGCTGCTAAATTTGTACATCCACCATTTTTGTAGACAGGGCTTAGATATCCAAAGAGGAAGTAGGACACGGACTCGGCCTTGGAGTGATGATATGGAAGAGAACGGTTCAAGTACTCACCTTTCAACCCTTCAATGACTAAATCGCCGTCGATAATGTGGCAAAGTTTACCAATACTGTTCAGATAGTTAGCGCTGACAACGCCTCCAGGGCAGGAGGTCACTGAACGAGTAATATTTGAATGGAGTTGAAGATACTGTTTCTCTGTAATAAAAAAGAACTTTCGCTGAGAGCCTAAGATATGGGCATCGACGAGATTGAGAGTGACTCAAGGTGTGTAAAGGGTGCACACCATCTGTTAGTTCCTAATCTTCATCATTCTACCTTTATGCTTCGAACGTGCACCTTTTGACACCTTGGAGAAGTACTACCATTCTCAATAAACTATGCGGCCAACAGATAGGCAATGGCAACTGCGGGAGCGCCAAAAATCTTTGGTGCAGCTAGATTCGGCAGCTCACTCTGCATCTACTGCACACTGAATGATGCTAAACCCTCGCAGAAGCACACGCTATGATCTTCTACGAGCACTACAAAAACATCCGTACTACACGGTGGATGGAGAGGAACCTTCAACTTCTAAAGTGTAGATTTCCGCCTTCTGATCGTAAACCTACCTGCTTTTGCACCAACGGTCTCAGCCGCAGGTCGTAATCTTCTGCGGTACTCCATATATTCTGAAGGAAGCTCCGACGACCCTCCACGGCCTTACCAAACAAACAAGCAGCTACTTTTGCAGCAGCTTTGTGTTATGTTCCTGTTTTGCTTCAGCGCTAATATACCGTCGCATACCCTTGTAGTGTATGTAATGTAACAACAACATTTCTTATCTCTTTAGCTCCCATTAGCCAACCATTCAAAATGACGGAGCCAAGAAAGACGGCTCATCACATGGAATCAGCTGCTGAGCTGCTGCGCGGTAAGGTTAAACGGTAAGAATTATCAGAAATTACGCTGTTCTCATCTACCGTCGGTTACATGTACGCTGTTCATGGAAGCGTTCACCTTTACTGCTAACCAGTACGGCGTGACCATTAGTTGCTCGTACTCAATGCAGTATTCTGTCAGTATTCGTAGAGGTTGGTGACCACAAGCAGATGGTTACAGCTCCGGGCCTTCGAAGCTGCAATTATTCTGCACGAATCATTCGGACCGTTTTGGAAGCGCACGTTGTGCAATGAGCTGGCTTTACTGCAAGACATATGTTTCGCTGACTCTGACAGCTTCTTCCCTGGAGCTACTCGTGAAGAAAACACGCACTCGCCCATAGCCGACATAAGAACAGTATGAATGTGAGAGAGCTCGTCAAGCGTTTTAATCATGTAGATCCCATGGAAGACTCAGGTGCTGACAAATAGTCGTGCCAAGTCTTCAAAAATTGCACGATCTTACGCGACAACATGATATAAACGGAAACTGACTCACAGCACTTGTCGTCCCACGATAGCTTTGTTTTTGCCTTCGCTTCAATTTTTTGTCTTATATCGGGTGTATGGCAAAATCCTGTATTGTTTTGAAACCAAAAGTGTGGCTCTGGACCAGCCACCTTCATTTCCAGGATTTCATCAATGTGCAGTAGCTTGCGATTGTTCACTATTCTCACCACACGAGCTGAAAGCAAGAGTACAATGTACTTATGAATTGCTTTTTCTGTTCTGTAGAGAAGCAGAGCGCTTACGTTGCCATCCATCAACAGTGATTTTTCGGAGAGTACCCAAACTACGTTCTGACGTCCCGTCTACAGTAACAGTACCGTAGACCTTGCTTATTCGAGCCCATGCGTTCTTCAAGTATATGGTACCTGGGTAGTGTACATCGCCGACTAATGCAGTACAATCCTTGCGCTTCACTGCCATCTCCATTGTACAATCTAAAACATTCCTTCAAGTATGAGAGCTGCACGGCATAGTGGGTTTATTCCAAAGAGCAATTCATTGGTTACGTTTGTGGGTTTCAGAAATCAAGTATGAATTCGCGGATTCTAACTAACTTATCAAAGATTGGAAGAATGGACAAAAATACGTCAGAGACGCCCTGAATGAGGTCCTAGGAGTGGATGAGTATTTGGAGACGCAAAAACTATGCGCAGGCGCCGAGAGGTCAAGATACGGTCCAGCGTGCATCGCAAAATCCGCGACGTTGGGAAGGCTTTTCACCCATTATAAGGGCAAGATCGTTTGTGGATATCCTGAAGTATCGTAATAGCAGCAATAGTAGCGCCTATTCAATATTAATCGCAGCGATTCCGATGACCTATTCGAAACTCAGGGGAAATTCCAGTCAAATTCGCTTCAAGTTCTCACGGGGTTTCTTCCAGGGTTTACCAAAGAGCATCTGCATGTGGCAGCGGATGTTCAGTGGAACCCTGACGGGTGTACATTCCGTGTCGTATAGGACTTCGTGTTGAGTTACGAACGTGTCAACGGCACTGCTAGGGCTAGTTAAGCACTTGACGGGACAGTGCTCATCTTCTCAAAACATTTAGTTCTTCCCCCTAAACATTTCCGCTTTAAGGTTGGGCCGAAGCCGCGGCACCACCTACGTAATTGCTTCAGCGTATTTTGAGTAGAGTATTCCTATCCATAACGAATCTGCTCAGTTTTGCAGAAATTTTTCTTCTTCAGGAGGTCGCCATAAAAATTTTGAGAAACATAAACATCAATTGCGATATCCGTGTACCCGGGTGCCGTCTGCCGGCTTTGCCCGCGCTGCCGCACAGCGAGTGAATGGGTGCAGAAAGCGCACTTGGGCTAGTCATGCCTAGTGCGCTTTCTGCACCCATTCACTCTTGCTGTTCTCTGCCTTCGAGTGCTTCTTCGTTATGGGATTTTGAAGCTCGTGAAAGTGCTGCACTTTGACGATAGCTCGGACGTACCAGAGAGGTGTACTCTCCAGCCCCGATTTCTCATTCCTTCTGCTTTATTATTAGGTTGGCGGGGAAGTTCTGTCACACTTTTTCGAACTCAAAACACTACTTGCCCATTACCTGAGAGGGGTAACCGGTAATGTGAGCACTTATACATCAAGGAGTGGTCTTTCTATTAGTACCACTCGCTTGACTCCTGCTTCTTCTTCTTCTGCAATATGGACAAGGATTTTATCCGCTACCATCGGCACCGACCCCTCCAAGCGCTTCCTCAAACTCTTTCTTCCACCACCCTGACGCCAGCATGATAGCTGCAGATGCCAAAATAATGGAGCTGAATAAGGACGATGCCCTCAATTATCGGACAACCTTCCACGACGCTAATGCTTCAAAGCGGGAGCCTACAGTTTTGATGACGAAGTGAGGTTTGGGTTACCTGTGAACTCAGATTGAGGGAGCTGCGGGTCGTGAAAGTGCTGGATGAAGGAAGCTGCTTCCTTTTTCAATGCAGCTACGAGTTCTGAAGCGTACCGTCGATCAGAGAGAAAAATTTGTCAGGACAGCCCGCTTTCATCATGATACTCCGTCCAAAAAAGTCTGAGCGCACTCCTTCCAAAAAAGTTTGAGCCGTACCAGTAAGAGCTGGATGGCTCTCCCCTTGCACTGGTGTAGCACAGACATTGCTCCTTCTAACTGCGAGTTGCCTCCCGTACTCAATCATTATGTGGACGAGAAAACCTCCATAACCCAAGGTACTCAATCGTTATGTGGACGAGAAAACCTCCATAACCCGAGTTCAAGTCAAGATTGAGATGATGTCCAACTTTGCGTCGCGCCTCCCTGCATTGTGAAGCGATGGCATCCATGAGGTGCTCAAAAACTGGCAAGGACCAGCTTGCTGTACAATTTTGATCTTACACGCCTCTCTATAAAAAGGAAAGCCTGATTTGAAAAGTGTGACAGAACTTCCCCGCCAACCTAATACCCCCACACCCATTCTTTCAGGCCTAACGTTCCAAGGTGGTCGTCTTTATCAGAGACCTAAACGTGTTTCGAGTTCATGAACACTTCCCTTCGAGCATCTAATCAGACCTAGCAGTTTCAATTACGTGGTCGAAACTCAACAAGAACATCTACACAATACGAAAAGTGCACACACCAGAATCCCACCGTAAATCCGCCACAACAGCGGATGTTAGTCAGTATCGAGTGAGACTTACTGTGGCATCTCCCTTATACATATAAAGTTGAGCGGACGCACGTACATAACACCGTTCACTTGTAACTTTAGTAAAGTACGAATGGAAAAAGGTCTTCTGTTATCACGGACACTCATTTCGGTTTAGAAGGAGTCAATGTCAACGTGGTGGCGGCGTGATATCGCAAGACTCCTCAGCTTTCTGACTTTTAATTTTAGAAAAACTTTGGTTTTCGAGTCAAAGCAATGGTCTTCTTAGCAAGGCCTTTTTAAAAAATCTTTAAAGCCAAGCTTGAATGTGAGGAACTTTAGGAACCCTACGAAAATTCCTTTTTTGCTCTGACAATGAGTGATGGTTGTCTTTCACAATTATAATTCTATGGAGAAAGCTGACCGTGTGGTGAACCGACGTCCACATCAAAGGGTGCATTTATGACCTGATCACGACGCAGTTGTTTATTGGCTTTGATGAAAACTTCCTGTAGCAAAATGTCATTTGTTCAGATTTCAAGCAGTTTCTTCATTTCTCTTGTTTCTTTTAAGGAATTTTCTATCACACCACTTTCCACTATTGGATACGAGTAGATTACGAAAAATGTGTAAATTCGAGAAATTGCAACCCGCTGGGTGCATAAATTAAGTACTACTCATTTTACTA